GGAATCAATTATGCACTGAACACAAACAGCAGCCTCCTTTTACTGAGTGCTTACTTGGTGCCCAGAAATTTAACTAACAATTTATTTTGCAAACACTTGAATAGGATCACGTACCAGGCACAGTTTTAAGTACTCTGCAAATATTAATTCAAGTAACAACCACTATGAGATATGAACCTGTGCCATTCCCCCTTTACAGATAAGGAAACTGAGAACGGGATGGTGGTGGCGGTGAGAAAATGTCTCCAAGGTCAATAAGCTAGTAAGTGGCCTGCTTATTACCTACTATACTGTATTGCCTCCTTGTCTTAAATAATCATTAATCTCTACACACTGTCCCTGAAAAACACAGTAATTTCTAATACAGAGCAGAAGCCCTGGCCTGCAGAAGTTGATTAACCTACTCAAAGGGACAGATGCAAATGGCATCACCAGAGTCTGTATCTGCATTGCCTGGTACTAGGCTCAACACTCCACACGAAATCTTGCTTGAATTGTGGTAATTAAAACAAGATCTATTTTTATTATTTTTAACTAGTGTGCATACGTGCATTTGTGCATGCATGTGTTGTGCAGAGTGCCTACAGAGTCCAGAGGAGGGTGCTGGATCTCTTGGAGTTGTGAGTCACTTTGTGGGCAGTAGGAACTGAACTTGCATTTCTTATGAGCTCTTCACTGCTGAGCCGTCTCTACAGCCCTGAGTTGTAGTTATTTTCTGAAAAATTCCTCCAAGTAACTAATATATTTGAATCACCAGGTATTTATTATAAAACTTTTGGGATGTGAAAGTTGGAGAATAATACTACAGATAACTCACCTTAACACATCAATAATCATTATAAGCTAAAATAGCCAAGATGTCGAGCCAGAAACAGTGCTACAAGTATGGAACCTCCTGAAAGCCTGTTGCTTTGTTTCAGCCTTTCCCCTCAAATTCCCAAGCTCCTATTTCATGAAGGTGGAGTCCTCGTGATTGAGACAACCTGAACACAACTGCGGGTGAACCCAAGGCTCTGCACCATTGAGTTATTACTGCAGGAAGCATAAGCTAAAAATTAATCTCAGAGCCATACTTCTGTTTTTATGAAAACTAACCAAGATTTATACTTCTATTTCTGTCTTTTAAATATAGGTACATTTTAAATGAAAATCTGATTTTGATTTGCCTTTTCAACTTCAACATAGGCAACTTAAAAAGTTCACTTTTAGCAAATTATAGTGATCTTAATAAGCAAAAGAAGCAGGTGAAAAGTTAATACATTGAACAATAATTCTGTCTTTTTTTTTTTTGCTTTTGAGTTCTTTACATAGAATCCCACAGGACACGTGTAGTAGATCTCTTTAAAAGTCAAGAATTCCAAGCTATCAAAAGATTATTTCCTTAAAGGTAAGCAGGGCCATCAAAAGCTGTTAAGTTCTATTTAAAAAGAGCAAATATTTGGTGGGGGATCATGTAAAGGACAAGCTTCTAATCTGGTCTATAATTTCTGTCCACCTAGCTCCTACCAGTGAGAGAGTAGTACATCTCGGTCCTCACAAGAGAAGGTTCTTTTCACAATGGTCTGTCCCGACTGACCACACCTGGTCAATGTGTCCAGCCCTAAGGGGGACAGCTACCCATGCCCCCTCCCTTCAAGGCTCAAGGATCATCCTGGAAGGGAGGAGGGATTCTAAGAGCCAGAGGTAGTGGACCACTGCAGCCAAACAGTACTTCTGGGGCATGATAGTGCTGTCACACACACGAACTCACAGAGACTATGACTTCTTGCACAAGACCTGGACAAGATCAAGCCAGCCAAAATCCCAGCATGCACAGGGGAGGGACTCATCAAGTTCCAATCCTAGTAGGAGGAGCTACTCACAAGTGATGGCTGGTGGGGGAGGTAGAGTCAGGTTTCTTCAGGGATATACTATGTCCCAGTAGAGGAACCCGTACACACACAGGCAGCACTAGTGCTCAGTGAGGAAAAAAAAAGCACATGACATTGGGAGGGAAACATGAGTGGTGGATTTGATGCATCATCTGTATTATGAAATTCTCAAACAGTTACAACTCCTACAAATACTCAAGTTCTTTTAAAAACACATCTAAACTTTGTAACACATGGAGTCCTTCATGATCTGTCCCGACTGACCACCTGACCAGTTCAGGCTCTTTCTTTCCTATCAGTTTTCACTGGCACTTGGCATAGCTCCCGAGCTAGAGCCTGTATGTAGCTGCCTGAAGTACTCTGGAGTTTGCAGACTAGTGGAACACAAAATTACCATAGTGATTCCACTTGAGGACTGACACATAATGCTTGGAAAGAACAAAGGAGTGGCCAGAGAGATCTCACTTGGAATTGTAGAGCTGCTGCTGACTACCTGTGTTGCCTTAGCAAGTTATCTGACCTCTTGCATTTGGTTTTCCCATTACAAAACAAAACAAACAAACACCCTCGTGATAGTTCTGCAGCTTCCAAGTGTGCTGTGAAATGAATGACTAAGAACTCAGCAGAGTCCTTGAAAATAGCAAGGGCTTAAGTCAATGCTAATTGTCACTATCTGAACCAAAGGGAACAATTCAAGGTACCTGACATTTTACCTGTCTTCTATACAGTTAAGAAAGCCTTGAATCTTCCATATTCAAAAGCAAAAATAAAAACAGCAAACCCCAACAAAATGCAAACTTATATGCTATTATAACATTAGGCACACTGCACTGACCTACCTATATTTGTGGCAGAATTATAGTAAAAACAGACAGACAACACTTGGTTATAATCTTGAGTAATGGTCTGTATTTTGCATTTACAAGGTTTTTTGGTATTTTACTTGGGACATTTACTTTTGTGCTTCTGGTGATGAACACCTTGTAAATCTCAGGGTGCAAACGTAAAGTCTCAATGCTTTCTTCTGCCTACCAGGAGTCCTTGCGTTAATAAAGGGATACACAGGTGAAACTAGAGCTTCTAACTATAGCTCTAGGAGGTTAAAAAGGGAGTGGGGAGAGGGCTTTTCTGTAAAAGGTAATTTTAAGGCAGCTGATACTTTCAAGAAGAAAATGAAAAAAGTAATCCAGAAGTAAATTAGAGAAGGTTGGCAAAGAATAACTAAAATGAATGAGACCAAACGGAAAGGCAAACAAACAAACAAACAAAAAACAAAAACAAAAAGATGATTAAAGTGAGGGAAATACCAGAAATGAAAGTAGTAAACATAAAAAAACTAAGACATAAGTCAACAACCCCTTATGGAAGCACTGTTGCTATGCATTGAATTTTTATAACAAAAAGAGACACCTCACCAGTGCAGGTCCCAGGGCTGTTCCATACACTAAATCTCCCTGGGTTCAGCTCTCATGCTCCACACTATAGCTAGAGTTTGCTGACATGCAAATTTAATTTTCCCCACTTCACTCAGATCCATACTATCAACTTGACTAGCTTGGATTCCCGTTAACTATGAAACAGACTCTCAAATCTCTGATGCAGCACTCAAGACCGTTCCTACTCTGTTCCCTAAGCTGCTCCTCCTCCTCTGCTGCTGCCTTTGCCCATACTAAGCTAAGTAAGATCTTCACCATCCCAGTCGCCATCTGCCCGACTATGGTATCTGCTTCTGCAATTTTTGGCAAGCAGTTAACTCATCTCTCAAGCATAAGTTCAAACATTTCCTGATCTGGGGTGCTTCCCTGGCTCCTCAGGTTGATTGATGTTTCATCACTTATGTTTCTGCTGAAGCTGATATATAGTTATACCCTTGTCACTTTTTTACGTGGTGCAGGGGAACTGAACCCCGGGCCTTGCATATGCCATGTACATGCTCTCTCACTGAGCTCTATATATACCATTTTTCTGTATGTTTACAACTGAAGGTATAATTAACAAATAAAAAGCATACAATGTAAAGTTCTGATATACATATATGCTGTGAAATAATTTATACATATCACATATTTAACAGCATAATGCCTGGCATATATTTTACCACAAATGAGTAAGTTTTGACTATGTGAGTTAAGAAATTCATATTGTCAAACTTTAATCCCAGAATTTGGGAGACAGAGGCTATGAGTTCAAGGACAGACTGCTCTACACAGTGAGTTCCAGACCAGTCAAGTACATACATAGTATGACATTATCTCAAGAGGCGAAGATGAAAAAAAGAAACTCCCATTATAAAATTTAAAATTTGAGCTGGGCGGTGGTGGTGTACGCCTTTAATCCCAGCACTCGGGAAGCAGAGGCAGGCGGATCTCTGTGAGTTCGAGGCCAGCCTGGGCTACAGAGTGAGTTCCAGGACAGGCTCCAAAGCTACACAGAGAAACCCTGTCTTGAAAAACCACCACCACCACCACCACCACCACCACCACCTCCACCACCACCACCACCAACAAAAATAAATAAAAATTTTTTATAGTTGAGCTGGACATGGTGGTACATGCTTGTAATCTCAGAACTTGGGAAGCAAAGGCAGGAGGATCATAAGGTGGACTGGGCTACATAATGTGCTTAAGGCCAGCCTAGGCTATATGAGACCCACCAAACCAACAAATAAACAAACAAACAAAAAAAGAAAGAAAAGGAAAAAAGCAACAGAACTTACACATCACACAGACACCTGTGCATGATGCGTCTGACTTGTTCTCGTTCTGCTTCCATCCCTTCCTGTGTCTTTTCTGTCTGCATCCCCACTACAGCCCCCAGCATTAGGAGAGGACCAGTTAGAGCACCAGCGACCAGCACTTCTGGCCCTCTTCAGCCTTCCAATCAGCCTCACATTTTGACCAACAACCTATTCTACAGAACCTCCTAAGAAACCTGGATGCAACTCAAAGCCCTTAGTCCAGTCCTGCCACTGTATACATTAATAGTGAACATACTTTCTTTCTTATAGTCACACACAGGACTAAGAGGTAAATATGTCTTGCTAGCGCCTGACCCTGACTGCAGGGCTTTTTCACACACTCAAGGCAATGGCTCATCTGATCATTTCCCAGGCAGATGCATCCCAGTTACCTGCTATTTTGATATTCATGTTGTTATCCAGCAGGAGATTTTCAGCCTTCAGGTCACGGTGCACAATCTTCCGGTCATGGCAATAATCAACAGCAGACAGAATTTGCCAGAATTTTCTCCTGGCTTCAGATTCATTTAACCGGCCATGATTAGCAAGATAATCTGTAAAAGAAGAGACCATTTAGAATTATTCACCAAAATAAATAACCTCAATATTAGCATTTAAGAAAATTTTGACGAAGTTTTTTTTATAATAAAAAATTAATGTTCTAATAACACAAATAATGCTTTCCAAGTTTCTTGCCTTTGGAGAAGTAACCTCAACTATATGTAACAGGTTCTATATAAATTCCAAGACCCCCATATCAGATAATAGCAAGGGTGACACAATATCCACATGACATCTCAAACTAAGTTTATTTTTTCTTTTTGCCTGTGTACTCTGCTAATTTGCTGAAAACATAATGTTTCTTCACATCATATTTAAATACATAAAACTCTTGCAAGGCAAAGAACATGAATGAATTTTCTTAGAAGGGACATCATAAACATTACTTTCATGTGAGACCTAGAAATAGCTTCAATGATTCAAACTCTAGTCTATTGAAAGAAACAATCCTGATCTACTCAAAAGCAGACAAATTTGTTTTCTAAATTACAACCATGTCAAATGACTATAAGCCACAGCTGTAAGACAATATACTTTTCAGGATATATTAGCATCTCTGTACAGTGTTACAATCTTTATTAGAGCAGTTTGGCTGAAAATTAATTGTACACCAACTATATACATGACTTCAACAAAACTAAATGCTACAACTTGAAGAGCTGAAAGCCTTCTGTAAACTTTTTAGAAGGAGAGGATCAACACAAATCTCGAAAAAAATTTATTTAAGGAAGTTTTCTTAAGTAAAGAGCCATATTATATAATATATATATATATAATGTATATAATAATATAATATATTGTCTTAGTTAGGATTATTATTTCTGTGATGAAACACTATGATCAAAAGCAACTTGGGGAAAAAGGGTTTATTTGGCTTACATATCCTGAATCATAATTCACTGAGGGAAACCAGGGCAGGAACTCAAATAGGGCAGGAACCTGGAGACAGGAGCTGATGCAGAGGCCATGGGAGAGTGCTGCTTACTGGCTTGCTCAGGCCTCTTTCTTATAGCACCCAGGATCACCAAACCAGGGGAGGAACCGTCAACGATGGGTTGGGCCCACCCACATCACTAATTAAGAAAATGCCCTACAATCTTGTCTACAGCCAGATCTTATGGTGGCAATTTCTCAACTGAGGTTCCCTTCCCCCAGATGACTACAGCTTGTGTCATGCTGACATAAATCTAGCCAGCACAGTAATGATATTCAGCCATCTTCACACATTTCTCTCTGCCCTCATCTACATGGTTTATAGGTTTTTGTTGTTTTAAAACTCATGCCTTTGGCCCATTACCTTCTAAATACTATGACTGTTTCTTTTTAAAATTTATAAAAGACTTCACAGTTTATGAAGTATAATGATGCCACAGTATTTCACATCCTACAAACCTTTATGATTATCTTTTTCTAATTCCTACATTATGGGTAAGAAAGCTGAAGATAAAAAGAATTCAGTGATTTAGCTGAATTTATATAACTTTTAAGTGAATTAGTTGATTAGGACCAGAAACTGGGACTGTATTATTTTATCATCTCCTATAGACTCTTACTGAAATCTTAACTATTCTTTTAGAATCTTGCTCAAATGTCACTTGGCCCTTGGTAGTCTTATATCATTTCAAGGAAAAAGAATTTCTCTTCTCTGAATCTTAGTTACTGTTCTATTTTGCTGTGAAGACACCATAATCAAGGAAATTTATAAAAGAAAGCATTTACTCGGGCTCTTGCTTACAGTTTCAGAGGGTTAGTCCATGATCACCATGTCAGGAAGCACTACAGCAGGTATGGCACTGGAACAGTAGCCGAGAGCTCACCTATCTGAACCAGAAGCTCATGGCAGAAAGAGGGAATCTGGGCCTGGCTTGGCCTTTTGAAATCTCAATCCCCAACCCCAGTGACACACCTCCTCCAACAAGGCTACACCTCCTAATCCTTCCTAAAGTGTCCACCAACGTGGAACCCAACACTCACATATATGAGCCTATTGGAGTCATTCTCATTCAAACCACCACAGAACCCCTTACCATATATCATACTCTGAAACACTGTAATTACTCTCAGATACAAAAAAATCCCAATGTATACACATACAACTTTAATGTAACACAGTGTGCTTTGAAAATACACATACATCTAAGCATTTTGAGAATAGAAATCAAGCTTTTTTCTACTATAATCTCCACAACACTTGGCACTACACAAGACACTATAAACATTCAATGAACCTATCAAAATCTTATTATGGTGATACTATGAATTTTTCCATCAACAATACTGTAAAAGATGTATAGAAACCATAATCTCTAACTCTTCTACACATTATTATTCTACACACTGCAGGCCTTAAATATAATGGATATTTTATCTATTCTACATCTGCTAGTATCAGAATCTGAAATAGTAGGCTCATAATGCTTCCCTCTGCCTAGACAACAATCATCTACAATTCTGAATGAAAAGAAAGGATCCCTCAAGAATATATAGATCTTCTGGTAAAGATGATCAAACTATCTTTAAGGAGGAGTGTTTCACTTATTCTTCAACTTCCCATATTCCCTATATGTTGTAATTCAAAATTAAAGGACTGAACAAATGTAGGCTTAATCTTTTTAAAGTGACAAGAAAATGCCATAGGTTTATTTATAAGGAGCACTATAATATCTGGTTCTGCTTAGGAGTGCTTTGATCGACTAGTGAGCTCCAGGGGTGAGCTCCTGATCTTTCCATTAAGGATTCTTAGCACTGTCTCGCTTATGATCATGGTTCTAAAATGCTAGCACACACTGAACTCTCACAGGGCTTGATAATCAAAGACTACTGGAAACTGTCCTCAAAGGCTGTTGGGAGCTTGGGCAAGAGGCTGAGCACCTGCACTGTTTTTACAAGTATCCAGGTGATACTGAAGATGAAGGCACAGGAGTCAAAGTCTGAGACCCACAACAATTCAAAGTTTTATCTTAACTGGTTATCATCACATGAATCAATGATTTCATACAGAATCAGAATTTGGTTTTTATAATTATTTATTCCTGCCACAATTATTAAATGAAATTTTGTTGGGAAATGTTTCTCAAGAGAGAATTTTCTCTTGTCAATTAGGATTACTTAGTTCTTCTAACACTCTCTGAATGGGTTAGGAATGATAGATGATAGATTCTTTTTCAATTAAGTACCAACTTGAGAGTAGAATCTACATGCCTGGTCATCTTATTTAGCATGCCTTTCTCTCCACTCTTCTAAGAATCACAATGATACCTTGCAGTTGTTGTTTTTTACTCTTTGGTTCTTTACTCTTTTTTTTGGGGGGGGGGGGTACCACCCAGCTCCCAAATAAGTACATGGATGAGGTTTATTCTTACTTACAAATGCCCAGCCTGAGCTTGGCTTGTTTCTAGCCAGCTTTTCTTAAACTATCCTATCTACCTTTTGCTTCTGGGCTTTTACCTTTCTCTATTTCTGTATCTCTTTTCTTTCCTTCTTATTCCATGTCTGGCTGTGTGGCTGGCCCCTTCTTTTCTTGCTTCTTGATCTCTCTTGCTTTCCTATCCCTCTTTTTCTCCTTCTAATTATTCTCTCTCCCTGACAGCCCCGCCTATTCTTTCTCCCGCCTGGCTATTGGCTGTTCAGCTCTTTATTAGACCAATCAGGTGTTCTAGACAGGCACAGTAACACAGCTTCACGGAGTTAAACAAGTGCAACATAAAAGAATGCAACACATCTTTGCATCATTAAGCAAATGTTCCACAGCATAAACGAAATGTAACACATCTTAAACTAATATTCCACAACAATGCCTGGGTTTTTATATTCAACTTAACTGTATGTAGCTATTTATTTAATTCTATGTTGTTCAGGTTTTCTTGTCTCTGGGCAGTGAAAATCCCATCACATTGTCCATCCTCTCCCCCAGGGACAGGGATCAACCTGAAGTCCTGAGCAGCATGTGTGCCAGGCAAGTGACCTACCCTGAGCTACATTTCCCTCCCCTCTTCACTCTGCTTGCTGTTTTCTGGCATAATAAAAGTGATTCACATTTATCTCGAACCTTTCCTTTCCTGAACCTCAGTCAGTCATTTTTTGAGAGGTGTGGTGTTTTTTCTGGGAAATCATAATGGTGTGCTTTCTAGTGATGGGTCAGGAGTCACTTCCATGTCTTTACAGAGACACAGCTAGAGGTAAGGATTTAAAAAGAAAAAAAAAATAAACATGTATTATTCTGTTTACTGCCATTTCAAAACCAATATTCTAGGAATTACATTGGTTTGACCATTCATTCATTCATTCATTCATTTTATTTTTTCCAAGAGAGGGTTTCTCTGCATAGCCCAGGCTGTCCTGGAACTTGCTCTGTAGATCAGGCTTGTGTTGAACTCAGAGATCCACCTGTTTCTGCTTTCTGTGTGCTAGGATTAAAGGTATGGGCCACCACCCTGGCTTTTGTTTGTGTTTTTAAAAATGTCATTTTCCTAAAAGACCTTGGTTCTTAATATTCACATAAAGTACTTGTTCTATCCTAGAGTTAATATCAAATAATCTCAAAATAGCTATACTAATATTACTACTAACAATAAAATTACTGAAGTTTACAAGCTAATATTTCTGTGAAGTTCTTTTTGGCTTGGGATAACACTGGCCTACAGTACGGAGTCTAACTAGTATGCTTTAAAAGTACTTGAAAGAAAGGTTTGGGGATTCGGTTCAGTGACAGAGCACTTGTCTAGAGCAGGTTTCCATCCCCTGCACTCCCTAAAACACAACACAGTTACTGGAAAAGCTTGTATAGAACATTTCCAACATGAGAGAAAGACAGCTGTGTATGTTTTCAAGCATTAGAAAATGGCTTCTCTCCAATTTTACTTTGAATATATAAAACATCTGGTACTTAGTGAGGTCAACATTAAAACTAGATGACTCGACATAATCAGGAGTCTTCCATCCTGGTTCCCCTCCTCAGTTTACAGGTAACTTTTTGGATTTTTGGTTTCTTTTG